GTTGTAAAAGGTAAAGGTTCCCTTGCTCGAAAGCCAGTCGAATCCGACTCTAGGGTTGCGGTGCTCATCTCCGTTTCAAAGCCGAAGAGCCAGCGCTGTCCGAAGACGTTTCCATGGTCATGTGGCCAGCATGACTAAACACCAGCATGAACACTCCCTCCCCATCATTCAAATTTTAATGTTTACATTGTCGACTATATCAAAGTAATGATAGATGCTGATTCCCTAGTTACCTTTTTAGCCTTCTTCCCTGTGATTGTGGCATCCATTCGTTTACTGATAACTCCCAATCCTGTTGATATCGTCTCTAGTGAAGAGGAAGAGGCATGGCAACAGAGAGCTTGAATGTTGTACCAAATAATATTTTCACCTTGTTGTTCATTTCTGAATTGAGCAAAGCTACTGTTCTGATAATATTGCTGAAGGAATCAAGGTGCAATTGTAAAGGCAATTCATATGTTCCAAAGGGGAATGAGCTTGGTGGAGAAAAGTGTTGTCAAGTTGTAGCTTACTTAGGGTGACCCGTGGGATTTTCAAGGCAAGAGGTGAACAGAGATGGTTTGTCTGCCTCTATATGCAGCAACCATGGCCTCACTTTGTGGGCTCCCATCCAAGGGCTAACCAGGGCTGACCCAGCTTAGTTTCCAAGATCGGATGAGATCAAGTTAACTTGGGCCATCCAGGGTCAGGGCAAGAAGTAGTTTAGGCTTACCTTGAAACTGTGCTATAACATATTAGCATGTGATTCAAAAGCTATCAGTATGGGGTGTTTATTTCTACTCATAAAACTCAACATTCCTCTTGCATTTCTACGAAACGACCCCTGGCTATAACATATTAGCATGCAATTCAAAAGCTATCAGTCTGGGGTGTTTATTTCTACTCATAAAACTCGACATTCCTCTTGTACTGATATTCAGATGGTTTACAGTTCCATATCTATAGGAGACTCTATAAAAAGAATCATTTCTCTGAGCAAATGGGACATCTCTTGCTACCCAGTTGATTTGGCATCTTGGAGGGGAACCAAACGTATTGGAATTGGGTTATAGACCACTAAATGGATTCCTAAAGTTGCTGCATGTCTTACCATTGCTTAGCTTTGACTTTTTTGTGGGATCTGGGGGGGGGGCTCTGAAAAGAGTTTCACAAACTTTTTGTGGGGGTGACTATTTAAATATTTCAATGGCATTCTACTTGATAAACATTTGATAAAAAGCAACTTCTGATTTCCAAGGTGTCAACAAGCTAGCTCAACCTTTGTAATCCTTTTCATAAAGAGATTGAAAAGCTGATTGGCTTTGTGCCTGCCTTTCTGGAATTTTGGCTTATTGCTCTCAGCAGCTTTCCTTTTTAAGGCATGTGTGAGCTAGCTGTTTGCTCAGGAAGGCTCTTCCGTCCTTGCTGATGCCTGAAGTCTCTTCCTGTTACTCTTTGATGAGCACACAGGAAGGAGTGCCTCTGATAAGAACCACCCTCACAGCAACTCTGTTTAGGAAGTGACTGAGTTGCCTATAATGAATAGAATCAGGATTTTATCGGGGGGTGGGGTGGGGGGAAGGAATCATGTACTCCTTCAGCTATGAAAAAGTGGGGCCTCGTACAAAGGCCTCTTTAAAAATAGCCTGTGGCAGCAGTTAATCATTACATCACACATGAGCAATACATCTGCAAAATAGTACAGTGCTGGAAAACAGTATAATACACCAAACAGCTGCATATTTATTGGAAAAACAAAGATGCTAGCCAGCTTAAGCCAGCATCAGCTGTTGTACCAGCAAGAGCTTTACTCTGGGATCCAAACTCTTCCTCCTTGGAATGGAAAGGCATTTGTCTTCTCCAGGAGCAGAGATGGATTTCTAGTTCTTCCTTCTCACTACAGACCCACGGCTGTGTGTGATGCCGGTCTGGAGGTTCCCCTGACCTTCGGGTGCAGCTTTTGGGGGTACAGTGGTCTGCAATGGGAAGGGTTGTAGGTGGGAAAGATTCGCAGAGTTTTTATAAAGGTGCAAGACCTTGATGGAGGGGGCAAGGAAGACATAAAGCAGTGTGTGTTTTATAGATGGATTTCACCTTTCTGTAACAAAGGAAGCACTATGCTATGGTTGGGAATGAGATTGTGAAAGATGCAGGTATTTTTGCATAGCCTGTGTGGTGATGCAAAGGTTTGCTGAACTCTGTCTTCGCAGGATCCCAAATCCTTTTTCCTCTGCATTTAGTTAAAATGCATGGAGTTTTAATCTGTAGGCTGCAGTTGTAAATAGAAACATAGTTGCAGGTGGGGGGGGAAGTGGGCTGAAGAAACAGGCCAGTCTGCGGCTAGCTGGCCTGAATGCTGAGAATCTGGTTGTGTGGGAAGGAGGGTATCGTTTCCTTGATGTTTCACTGGAGTGTAATTTAGAAGTCATATTTAGAAACCCAGCAATGCTGCTTTTGGGAAAGCTCGAACTGCTTCGCTACCCTGTTAACTTGGTATTTCAGTTGGCACAGCAGCTGTGTACCAGATGTTCTGCTTTGTGAGAAATATCATTTCCATCCAGGCATTTTGCTTTTTGCAGCCGACATGGATACTGTGAGAAAGGAAAGCGCAGTGAGCGTTAAGTGATCTGACAGCCCTCTAAAAGCTGCTTATTTTCAAGACCTCTGTTGCCAGTACATGACATCAGTGTGAATAGCCAAGGTTATCGGGGAGTAATCTGTAAAATAGCTTTCAAAATGGCTTCTATTTCTTGAAACTCTTCTAAGTGATATTGCATGGCTTGAGAGAGAAGGCAGCTTGATTTGAAAACAACTCCTTGGGTTTAGTTGTAAAACCTGCAACAACAGCAACAAAAGTGGGGAGGCGGGGAAAGGGGCTTTGTTGTATATTTGGAGTGGGGAGCAACAGCCCAGTATTTCGGACTGGTTCTAGGCTGCTTCAGGTCCTCCTTTGTCAGAGCACAAAGGCAGTGTGGGGTTGCCTGTGCTAGGCATAGTGTTGCATTCACTGGGGAAGGAGAAGCAACCTGGACCTCCCAGTGGAGTCAAGGTGTCCAAAGAGAGCCAGCACTGTACAGTGGTTAGAGCATAGGGCTTGAGAGACCTTGGGCCGGTCCCTCTCTTTCAGCCTAACCTACCTCACAGGGTGGTTGTGAGGATAAATGGAAGAAAGGACACCATGTATCATGTATGCTGCCCTAAACTCCTAAAAAAAAGACAGATAAATAGATGGAGCTCAATGCATAGGGGTTTGTTAGGGCCAAGACCCGCCCAAGGGACTGATCTGTGCTATAAGCGCATTATCGAGATACGGTCCATTTATGCCATTTCAGATGGAGAGGGGTTTTTTTCTTACATGTAACCGTATTGTGGGGATAGGATCATGTGTGTTTGAAGTCCGTGTTATAAGCTTGAAGAGGGCTTAGAGGATTAGTGCTTGGCCCTTGAACAGTTGGAAAAAAGAGCTAACCTGTGCGAATTACACTTATATTTAATGCCAATACGTAACTAATATTATGCCAAGGAGCAGAAGAATGCATGCAAGCACACAGTTGTCACCTTTTCCACATAATTTTATTTGCAGAAAGTGTTGCTTCTGGCTTGAATTGAACCACCTTTAAGTAAAATAAAGTTACACATGTAGGCTGCAACCAACCCCCAATATATATAAGCCCCATTTCTTTAGAAGGAAGTTATTCATAAGTAATAGCTGTGCACAGATTGACAGATTTTTTGCTTTCTCTTGTGTGTCTAAACATGTCACATTTCTTGTGATGTCCTTGTATTGTGCTTCAAGTCTTGCTTAGACTCTATCCATGTAATATAATTTGTCTTCATTGTCTGTCTCTGAAATGTGTTCCAGCTTTGGCCTGCTTCTCTTCACATGAAAAATAGTTAATGTGGAATTATCTTCTCCAACCTGCCTAGTATGTTCAACAGCAATGATAGGTTTAGTACAGTGGCCATCATAATAAAACTTGGTCTGTACTTTATCACAAGAATGCATAGAAACTGCAAGTGTGTGTATAAATTCAGAAAATAACTTCTACTAGAAACCAGGATAGAAAGGTAGTTTTGTCCATAGACCACTCCAGATTAATGTGGTGGTCTTTTGCATTTTTCAGGTTGTTCTAGTATGCCACATAAATCTCGCTTGTGCTACGGAAATGCTGTAGACTTTATTGAAATGTATTCACCTGTACCACACCGTCCTGCCCAGGGAGGGCCCAAAGCAGCTTACATTGTTCTCTTCTCCATTGTGAAGGGCCAGAACAGCCAGGATGCTGGGAGATCCAGACTCCAGCCTCCCCAGCACTTTCAAAAGGCTTAGAGCTGCTGAGTGGGACCCCGACTGGGCTGGGTCAGTGGGTAGGGGAGGGAGGGAATTTGACTCTCCTATCCTGCAGAGTTTTGTCAATCGACAATGCCACCCATGTGCTGTCCTTTGTCCTAGAAAGGAAAAAAAAGGAGAGAGAGAGGAGAGGTTTGTCCCCAATTCCACAACCCCAACCCAAATTGGATGCAATATGTCCACTACTGGGCATTTCAAAACCCTCTAAAGATCTGATCATGAACTTCCTAAGGTTGCATCTGTTCCTAGAACATGTTTCTTTTTATTTATTTATTTATTTATTTATTTATTTGCTTATGATAGCAACCAAATCAAGCCATCATACAAATAGACATTTGAAACTGTTGCTCACTATTTATAACTTCTCAGGTAATACTCATTTTGAGCTCTTGTTGAGATTTGAAGAAAATTATTTGAGGCTATGGTTGCAAAACTGGCCAGTTTGACTGGCATGAATGTTTTATTCCTCTGCTTGCCCTATTAGGTTTTCTTTCTAATGGAGTGGAGAAGTCAGTTTTTAACTATTTAGTGTCTTTTGGGGAAAAGGAATTTGTGGTGCCTACACCTTTAAGATCTTTGGAGCCCTGGGCTTGCAGACACTTTTATAACCTACGTGATTTTAATCAGTAGCACTGATTGAGTATCCTTGGTTCACTTATTCTCATGGCAGAGGTGAAAGACTATGAACCACCATTTGGATCCAAGGTGCGAGAACATCCTTGTGTTGAAAGCATGAAGGACAATGTTTTGCGGGACCGAGGTCGACCAGACATACCTAGCTCGTGGCTCAACCATCAGGTAAATGAATCCGACTGTACCACAGCTGTTCTTCCGTGTTGGGTAGCACCAACGGCTTAGGATGACCAAACTGCATACACTGTTCCAGGTCTGCACCTTGCCCTCTGTATTTCTCACTGAGCTTAGTACTTTCAAGTTGATATAATTGCATTAGCACAATTAGGAATGGATTAATGTGATTAAACCTTTTACATTTGCACTGTGGCTGCAGGGCATACCATAGGCATCTTGTGACTCTCAGCCGCAGCTGGTCTGTTTGGCACCTGGACTTGTCAAACGCTGGTCAAAGTTGCACTATGAAACTGCCTTCAGTGTTTGCTAATTGCCCCTGAATATTCTGCAAACCTTTAAAGCAATCTGCAGCAGATGCTTATGCTATATTAGTTCTTCCATATTCATTCTCCTCCTCTGCTGTTGTGTTTTTGTAATGAACCCATAATTCATAATGCTAAATTCTGAAATGGATTTTATTCAGTGCTGCTTCTCCCCCACCCCCTTCACTTTGTAATGAGATGTGTTGCGCTACTGATTTCACGTTAATGTTTAATATTTAATTTAACTTTAATGTCGGTAATTTCAATGCCAACGGAAAATGAATATTATTTGTATACTTACAATATCGTTGTACTGTTGACATCTGTCAACATCATCCATTAGGTAAATTATACAGACATGCAGTGCTTTGAAGCTTTTTTCTTTTTTACAAAATGAGAATAATTTGTACTTTAGCTGTGTGTAGTGTCACTTTTTGTGACTGAGGATAAAACCATTTTGTTTCCTGGTATTAGCTGGGTTTAGATGTATAATTTCTACTGTGGGGGAGGGGAGGCCAAACACAACACTTAGTGAATTAACTTGCCTGAGCACAGTCCAGCGTGTGCTTCTGTGACTAAGACGTGCTTTACATGAGGTTTTAAATAGGGCTGTGACATAGAATAGGGCACCCACAGTAGAAACCTCATCATGGCATGCTGATGCCCTTAAGGGTCCTCCACACTTCTCTCTCTCTCTCTCTCTCTCTCTCTCTCTCTCTCTCTCTCTCTCTCTCTGTCTCTGTCTCTGTCTCTCTCTCTCTCTCTCTCTCTTTTAATTAAAAGTTTTACTCCACACTTTTCCAGGTGTTCCCTAAACCCCTGAAAGTAAATCAGAGTTAATATTCTCCATTGTGGCTCACAGTTGTTCCCCACTAGGATAGACATTCCGCATAACTGTGGCAGTGCCTTCCACTAAAAAAAGTTTTTGTCTTTCTGAATATGTCTTTCAGATTGCAGATGTTTACTCCCCTTAGCTCCTTTGGTCTTTCTGTAACTGGACAGCAGAAAAATTTCTTTGTGTGCATACACACACTATTGGGCACCTGTTAGTTTGGTCCTGTCCAGATTATTTCTACCCCACATCTTTTTTTCCAACATGACCAGTGCTGTTAAAGTGTACCTCAGATTCTTAGGGAGGAAGCCAAGGACAGTTCCTGGGAAATAGCTTTCTACCAAGAACCTCAACGCTTTGTCTGTAAAACAAAAGGAATAATTCTGAGGCCTTTGGTGCAGACTCTTTTTATGTAGCCCAATCCAAACAAAACAGACCTCCCAGTAATCACACAGCCAAGGAAACAAGACAAAACTGGGGCCAATATAGAACCAATAATACACTCTGAACCATGAGTAGTATGCTAGATACAATTGCTTTATACTAGATAGTTACTATAAAGTATACAAAATTTCCCCAAATATTTACAACAATAAGAAAACAATAGAATATCAGTGGCTGCCAACAGCCCCAAAATAACAGTGGAATTCCTAAACAGTTACTGTTGGCAGTCAAAAAAGTAGAAGGCTTAATGAGCTGAAAGCTACTGGAGCTTGACGAAGCAGCCGGCTTACACTTGGTTTCGTCTAGTGACTTCCTCATAAGCAGCTTAACTGTTGTTGTATATAAGTTTTCTTAATATGTGTATTTTCTTGGTTTTTAAGATACTCCTCTAGAGTTGCTACCTTTAATATAGGGACTAGCCCTTATTTCCTTGGACCATATCTCCTATGGGACCTGTCCTTGATAGACTAAGCTTCTTAGCCTTGATAGACTAAGCTTCTTAGCAATTGTATCTAGCATACTACTCATGGTTCAGAGTGTATTATTGGTTCTATATTGGCCCCAGTTTTGTCTTGTTTCCTTGACTTTTTTTATGTAACATAAAAAGGTAGCTGTGCCAAGTTACTGCTGTCTGTCATAAGCCGTGTCTCTCATTAGCAGCTAAGCACACGTGGTGTAAATCTAGTATGTTGTATTCCCCCCAAATGTTATCATTCTTTCTGCACAATGTTACACGCGCAAGTAAAATATATACCTCTTGGGAACTTTTAATTAATTCTCCCACCCTCTCTTTGATTGCACTTCCTGAGTGCTGCAGCTCTCAAATCTTTGTGTATTTTAGGGCATCCAGAAGGTCTGTGAGACTCTCGTTGAATGCTGGGACCACGATCCTGAGGCCCGTCTCACTGCGCAGTGTGTAGCGGAGCGGTTCAATGATCTCGAGTACCAGGACAGGCTGTCAGGAAGAAGCAGCTCCGAAGAGAAGATCCCAGAAGACAGCTCTGTGAACAGTGCCAAGTAGCAATGGACGCAAACATGGACCGAAGAGAAGAACTGCTCTTGGCTTTGTGCATGCGCTCACAGCAGGAGGAGACGCTGGTCCTTAGTCTTGGATGTGCTTCCTGTGGCATCGAGGAATCCCACCTCTCCCTTGACTCCGCTGCTCCCAAGAAAAGTTCTTACGTTATGGGAAGCCATGATGGGGCAGCAACGTCATGCCACAGCGGCGGGTGCCTTGACTTGTGTCACAGGATAAGCTACGTTGGTGTTTCCTCACAGAACAAGATTGTACAAAATGCCAGTTATATTTGCACTTTATCAATGCCTGTATATAACTATGGAAGAGCAATACACACACAGACACTCTCTAAAGCTCTGCCAGGAGTCTTCCAGGAAGTTAAGGTGAAAGAATGCCAGCAGGGATGGTCAGGATGCCTGCCAAGACGCTGGCAGCGGCAGTGCCTTGCGTGCCTCGCCCAATGCCTAAGAACAGTGGGAAGGTGCTGCTAAACCATGAATACTGTATACAGCTGCACTCCTTTTGTGCAGATGAGAAGCGAGGGATAGGGATGGGTTTGGCTGTGCTTTTTCAGCCCTTTTTAGCACATTTGTTACAACTATGCAATGATGTTTCAGCTGGTTCTTGAACATCCGGAGTGTGCACATTCAGCTGACCATTCGGGTCTAATTTTCTTCCAAATCTCGTGGAGTTTAGAATTGGGGGGGGGGGATGGGTCAGGGGGTGCTTTTTGTCCCTGTAGAGAGGACTGCTAATGTCTTCTGTCTTTCTCTGAGCTTGCACTTCGTGTCAGCAGCCTCCCCGAGTCGACTCGGAGGGGGGGGAGGCTTCCCTGCTTTATGAAATCAGGCAGGGCCAATTAGAAGGGGAACAGATGTTTTGCATTTGCGGTGCATTCTGACACCGTGTGGGACTTCTCCTCCCCTCCCTCTTCTCCCGGATCAGTAACATCATGTCTAGTTCCTTGAGCCCCTCACGCTCACACTTGATTCCGTGCCCGGTGCATAAGAAGGGGGGATGGTGCATGATGCTGTGGAAAAGATTTGCTACGTGTTAAAGGTGTGTTTCAGTCTCCTTTAACTTGAATCCTGGTCCTCCCCAGTCTGCAGTCATTCAGAACTGCTGGCAACATGAGTACATTCCTAAACTTGATCCCCACAGGGCATGGATTACATTCTTTCAGTCTTCCAAAATATTTAGATTTGGAGCTGGCCTCTTGAGGAATTTTAACTGATGGAATTTCAGCAGTCAGTGCTTCCCTGCTTGATCATCAGGGTCTCTGAACTTTGGAGCTCAAGTTAGCTTGGAGGAGCCGGGAGCTTGTCGTCGAGTGCCTTCGATGCCTGTCTTTTTTCTTCTTTTCAAAACAAGGAATTTGTTACCGACCCAAAAGTAAACTGTTCAGCCCCAGAATTAAAAGTTTTATATCGAGTGCAATCCTAAATCTTTTTATCATATAGGACACTGATATTTTTTTTTAAATTAGGAACAGTTGCTTTGTATAGCCAATAGGGGAAAATGTATATTCACATAGGAGTTAAAATTTATGATGAAAAATATTTATTTTTTAAAAAAGCTTTTTTGCATTTGCTTTTATATTAAAAAGAAATATTTAAGCATTAAGAGGGCAGGAGATCAACTATTACAATGCAATCCCAACTATAATAGCAGCAGACTGTTTGAACTGTGGAGCTTACTGGCAAAGTGGGAGTATATTGGGATCATTATAACATTCCTAAACAGAGCTAGGATCTTGTGACCTCTAGTGGTGGTTTCTTGGGGTAGCACCTTGGAAAATAACTGCACAGGAAAAAGAAATATTACCACCAACTGGAAAATGGGGAGTATGTACACTTAAAATCTAAACCAATAATTTCAAAACCTGTTTGACTGCCATGCCTTCCCTCAGGAGCTTTGGTGGTCATAGTTTTATGAGGACACTGGGGCTTAAAAAAAAAAAAAGTTGTGTGTCATAGAACTACAATCCCCAGAGCTCCTTAGTAGACAGCAGTGAAAGTCTAGCAAGTTTTAAACTGGTTTAAATTTGTGGTATACATATACCCTGGACCTTTACTCGGGGATTGTGATGTGTTTGATATTTCTCATGATGTGGTCCTTTTACCTTTGGTTTAAAGAGTGAGAGAATCCCACAGTTCCTGACAATTCTAACTTTGTTTACTGTTATATATAAAGGGAAATGTTAATTCCTCCACGGAACTTCCATTGTACATCATGTATGAAAATAGGAATGTGAACATATAATCTTGCTTTTCCAAATGTTTCAAGCACTTACAATATTTTTTTGTATAAATAAAATGTTTTAGATTAAGCAAGCGTGTGATTTAAAGATCTTATCCTTGCCAAAAATATATAAAGGTTTTCACAGAGAATAATGCTGAGGTTGCATTCACATTTAATTTCCTTCCAGCTGCTTAGACAAAGGCGTATTATGCAACATTTCAGGTATTTTGTTCCAACATTTCAGGTACTTTGTTCCAGAGATATTTCAAAACTGTTCCTTAAAGTCCACGAATAGCCTGAGTGATCAAATGGGTAAGCTGTATTTAAACATTGACCGGGGGGAGAGGGGGTGTTCCGAGCTTTCTGTTTCAGTCGAAGAATTTGCATACACACAAGCCTATCAATCCCTTTTGAGGCATCTGTGTAGGGGACTCTACAGATTGCTCCATTTCCAATGCAGAGAAGCTGATGATATAATAAAGTGAAAAGCACCTTGATGATCATTCTAGCTTTAGTAATGGTCACAATAGACTTTTTTACTGAGAGGAGGAGCCCAGGAGAACTTCAAAGAAAAATGCAGTCCCAAGATGGCTTGTCTCAATGAATTACCCAAACCACAGAGACGTGACCACATCATGGCCCCTTTTCCTTCACTACCCCCGCCCAACTGTATGCATAGAAGGTCCAGTTCCTTCAATCAAGCTGAGAGGGCAGTATGATTAATGAAAGGATGAGTAGGAGATGTAGGAGTCATAGATAAAGTAGTATCTGAAAGTTCATATCTACAAAAGCCTAAGTCATTATAAAATCTTTTGACCCAGTCAGTCTCCCAACTAAGAATCTTGGCAAGTATATTCAGTGAAGAGGCCAGCAATCGCTAGCCAAGATTTCTCAGTGCTGTTGTGTTCTTTTGGTGGAAGTTGAGTGTTAAATTGTTTGCAGACTAGGATTAAGTTGTGTCCTTCATAACATTGGCCAGAAACTATGTCGGACATAGCCAACATCTTGAATTTGAACTTAGAAAACAACAGGAAGTGCCGCACACAACTCAAAATATTGTACACTGGTTTGTGTTGTTTTGTTTGGTTCCATAAAAAGGGTATTGCATTGCTTTTGTTTTTGGCTTTTGCTCTGGACTGACATTCTTACCTCAAATCTCAATCAAATAGCAGGCTGCCATTTTCTACACCAGAAGTTTCCAAATCACTGTCAGAATCAGCTCCTCAGAACAAGGGACTATGGGACGAGTCATGTGACTTAGCAACATGCCCAAAAAAGGTCTGGATTTTTTTGTGAAATTAATCGCTAAAGCTAAATTGCTTTAATGGTTTCGTTTTCATTTCTGTTGGCTTCAGCGGGAAACATGTTTCCCACCTTTTTACCTCAATTTAACTGGAACCAAATCTTCAGGGATTGTATTCTCTCCCTTATGAGAAGGACCTTCAGTGAACTCAAATTTCAGAGAGAGAGTTCCTAATGGTACTGATTTTACAAGAGAGATGTCCTTGTCCCAAAAGGCTGATGGTAGCTAACACTATAATTAAATTTATTTATTTATAGTCCACTTTGTTCACAAGGACTCAAGGTGCTACAACAGACTAGCACAGCTACTCCTTTGTGATCAGGCAGACAAGGCCAGGGTGTCATCAGCTTTCTATTGGGGGCAAATTCCATTTCTCCAAGCCTCATACACATGTTGAACTAGGGGTGGGGAATACACTGGAGATGTCTAATTCATAAATCTTTGGAAGACTGCGAACAACTGCCCATCAGCGCTGCATGCCGTTGCCTCTCCATGAGAAGCCTACCGTGAGGCTAAGGAGATAAGGCAAGGCAGAAATATTTAAAATAAATAAATGTAAAATATGCAAGACACACTCAAAAAGATAACAATATGATGCTCCAACTGTTGTTTGCATTGGCTTAGGGTTGCTTTTTTCCCCTTTTTGGTTCTCAGATAATAATGCAGCTAATCCCTTCTATAAGAAGGGTGGGATGTTGGTAGATATACCAATATTTATAGAGGTATTTGAAAATCATTGTGCATTTTTCAGAGGTGCATATCTGGTGGTAGCTGATTACAATGGATTACTGTCAAACATAGCAAGTGTTGCAGCAATGAACTAAGTATATTACGACACTGTTTGGGAACAGCCCCGTAAGCTCTTTTGGCCTTGAAAAAGAAGGTAACATTTTCTCTTTGGATATTTCCTAATTAACTCAGTTGCATGCTTGGTTATCCTTTTGGTGACTTCCAAACCTTTCTTCTAGTTGCCTTTAATTAGCATGTCAGTCACATTGGTTTGTTGTATATATCTATGTCTTATAATACAAAGTAAATAAGAGAGTGGTATGAAGAACTTAGCAAACTTAATTTAAATGGAATGAGAACTTTCCTCCTGTCTGAGTGCAAAAGTGCAGATGGCAGAAATGTGAAGTTTTGGCCACGGATTTTTACTGCCTTCGTTGCAAAGTTCTCTGTGTTTTGTGATTATACACTAGTTAACCCCCATTTCCCCTCAACTTCACAAACAATCTGACCCTGGGTGCTTTCATTTCAGGGCCTATCTGTAGAGAGTCAATTTGTGTTGTTCAGAAATTACCCTTCTGCAATTAGCCAGCAGCTGAGTTGTAACTGGGGCTCCATGTGGCACTTGATATGACTGCACATTCTCCTTAAACATCTGGAAATGCCTGTCCACTCACGCTCAAGATACTAGGTTTACTAGGAACCAAATCTCAACGAAAGTCCAGCTTTTCATTTTGTTTTTTTCCTTTGGGTACATTCTCTCATGGTATTCATATTTAGGTGGTTACCTTGTTTACCTGAAAGGAAGACTAGGTCTTTTTTCACATTGGCCATCAGACAGGGATGCCAGCCTCCAGGCAGGACCTGGGGACCCCCCAGAATAACAGCTCCTCTCCAGACTGCAGAGATCAGTTCCCCTGGAGACAATGGCTACATGGGAAGGTACACCCGATGGCATTCTATCCCACGGAGGTCCCCATCCTCCCCAGATTCAACCCCCAAATCTCCAGGCGCTGGCAGCCCTAGGAATGAGTGTCTTATATTTGCATGCAAGTTACAGTTATGTATAGTCGCTGGATATAATCTTTGTTTTTTAGAGAACTGTAGAAAGTCAAAAAATAGCTCATAATTTTTTTAAAAAATTACTGTTGTGGCAAATTGCTACTACAAGGCAGAAAACCAGTTCTTAAATCCCCACACACCCATCCCAAAGAGCCACAGCTAGCAGAGATCAGGAGTTAATTCAGCTTGAAGAATACTTAAAGGGGAAGTAGCCCTGGAAATCCTTTTTGAATCACCACATGGGGCAGCCTAGTGCAGCAATGGCATTTTAAGTTAAAGACAGATCACAATATAGTTCTGAGGAAAAACACAGCAACACAAAAATACAAGACTTCAACATGTTAAGCACAATGCCATCTACATTTCCATTAAAATGAATAAATAGCAGCAACTTCAGCCTAAACAGAGAAAGGGCAAGTTTCTAGTCCCTAATTGAGGTTATATGCTTGAATTTGTGGGTGAGATCTCCTTAGACAAAGTTTGTGCTGTAAGATTTGTGTGTGTGTGTGTATGTGAGAGAGAATCTAATCCACTTTCATTCAGAATATTTGTTTAGGACACCGAGACACGTGCTTTAGTCAAGAGGTGTTGTGGCGTTATGATTATTTAGAACCCACCTTTCTCCCCAAAGGGGACCCACAGCAGTTTACCTCCTCCCCTCCATTTTACCCTCACAACCACTGTGTGAGGTAGATTAGGCTGAAAGTGTGTGTGACTAGCCCAAGATCATCCATCAAGTTCCCATGGCAGAGTGGAGATTAAAACCTGGGCCTGGCACTCTTAACTACTAGACCACACTGCCTCTAAATTAGAATGTCAGGCTAGGGAAACCCATGAAGTTCACTGGCTGATTTTGTGCTCAGCCTAACCTATTTAGGAGCTGCGGTGGCTCAAGTGGTTAAGACGCTGAACTGCAGGCTGTGGAAGGTCGGTAGTTCAGCAGTTCGAGACCCAGGTGCCGCACGATGGAGTGAGCTCCCATCTCTAGTTCCAGCTCCTGCCAACCTAGCAGTTCGAAAGCAAGACATTGCAAGTAGATAAATAGGTACCACTTCCGTGGGAAGGTAACAGCGTTCCGTGAACCTTGGTGTTTAGTCATGCCGGCCACATGACCACAGAAATGTCTTCGGACAGCGCTGGCTCTTCGGCTTTGAAACGGAGATGAGCACCACAACCCTAGAGTCGGATTCGACTGGCTTTCGAGCAAGGGAACCTTTACCTTTACCTAACCTATTTTACAGGGATTTTTGGAGGATAAAGGGCACAAGAGAGAACTATGTACACTGTCCCGAACTCATAGGGGAATGGTTAAAAATGCGACAGGTAGGCCTGCTCTCCACCAGTCTCCTCCTGGGTACAAAGTGAGAAGACGATCTATTTGGGGGTGGGAGGAAATTATGTAGTGGGGAAAGCCTTCCAAAGATTGGACCACAGTAGCTTGAACAAACACAATTTTCCTCAAGAATCTGCTGTCAAGGACTTGTTCAATGCACACGATGTGAGCAGAATTCGTAGGCGCTTGGAGCAGCCATTTTCACTTGAGCGAGGCCATGCATGGCCCATCTTGCGCTCACGTCTCAGCTCCCTTCTTCCAGAAGCCAGTTCAAGCTGTAGTATTGTACTTCTCATCAACAGAGATCTCCAAATGCAGCTTCCGCCTCTACACACACTCAAGTTACTGCATGGTCCTTTGCAGAAGTGACAGTAGCTCTGTTCACATGCAAATACATGTAACCACGTGACACATGTACATCCCTTGTGTATGTGCATACATCTGTTTATAATCAGGTTCCCAGGCTGATCCAACTGTTTCCCAAGCAAACAGCTGGCTGCTTTTCCCTCTCTGATCTACTTAGGAAGAAAAGCCCTGCTTCCTTGTCTGAAAGTGTAGATGGTAATGTAGGAGGCACCGGATTTTGCATTTCAATTATTGTCTCTTTAACTTCTGCCT